GAGGCCGCGGAGGACCCCCTGTTCCATGAGAATGGGGGAGTTGGGGGAGGGGGCTGATGGTTTGGGGGAGCGGAGGCGGTCTGAGGGACGGGGGGTCGCGAGAGCGGTGATGGTGGCGAGGGTGGGGCCTCCGAGGTGTCGTACACAAAATGGCCAGTGGGGGGTTGGCTTGGCTTGGCGTGGCGTTGTGCCCCATCTACATATATTGGAGATCGCGTCAGATTAAAACAGGACGCTCTCCTTCTCTCTGTTGGCCGCAGAAAGCGAATCACAACGTTTTCCGCGGCTTCCCCAGCCCCCATAAATGTGTGATTTTCCAGCCCTTCGTTGTGGGTGCGAAGACAATGCGGTGCAGGGGGAGGGTGGGTGCGGCGGCGGCGGGCGGGAGGAAGAGGGTGCGTTATAGCCATCTTCGTTGTTTTAAACAGTCATTTATCATGCGAGGGCTCGACCGGGCTTTGCCGTAAGGTCTCCGGCCCGCTGGCTCGGGGGAGGGGAAGGGGGAGCGGGGAGCGACCGGGGCCAAGTGGAGGTCACACACTCGGGCGAGGCGGGGCGAGGCGACGCTGTCGGATCACCCCATGCTGCTCGGCTCGTAGAGGAGAGAGAGAGAGAGGGAGGGAGGGGCTCCGCAGTGGATTTAGCAGAGTGAGAAGTGAGTGGAGCTGGGGAGAGAAGGGCGTTGGCACTACCATAGTATCATTATTTTGCGGTGCCGAAAAGTTGGCAGCAGCGAGGTTTGCACGCACCTGCTCTCACTGACTCGTCACTGTGTCCCCGGCGGCCGCCTCACGGCTGCACGATGCAGAAGGTGTCGGCTGGCTTTATGGACGCCCCTCGGCCTCCTCCTGCTCCTGCAGGAGCCAGACGGTCGCTCTGGTTTTACAGTCAATAACACGCGTTGTGCTGCGTGGCGGCGGCCTCAGGCTCGAGACGACACGGCCGCGCCTCCTCGCAGGCGCTTCATCAAGCTTGGAGGTTATGGCTGCCCGGACCCGCGCGTCAAAATGCCATATTGACGCGACGCGAGGAGGCACCGCCGAGCTGGAGATAGTTTAAGTTTGAATATAGGGCGGATAGTGTAGCTCGCTGGAATATTAGCAAGTTTCGTCCTTTTTATTTTTCTGCCGTGTAGTTGGCGCCACTGTTTTCGCATTCAGGTGGGGTTGCGACCGCTTACTGTGCCTCCCCATAATACGGGTCGCGG